GGGGGGAGGGGGGAGAGGAGTTAATTGGGTGGGTGAGCGCTTTCGGTTGCCGTATCGATAAAACGTAATTTCTTTCGCTCAGCGTGTGTCTTCGATAATTGCGAGTTGACCGCGTTTAGACGGCACCTCCTCCGTCGCGCCCGCGATCGGATGATAAAACGCGCGGCCGTAGAAAGACATTTCTGCTACGTTAACCCTTATCGAGAACGTGTGTTACGTGTGTTCAAGGGCACGCAAGGACAGATAAGACACCACTGTATAACTCGCGCATCGTTAATTATTTTGATGCAAACATTACTAGCTTTCATCCCGAGAAGAAATTTTATGCGCGCTGCACATGCATGATATTTTTATTTATATCCGAAATATGAGAGATATTTACAAAATGTTCACGTAATAATTGATAAAATATTTTTAATATATTAATGTTACTTATAGTGATAAATATTTTATTATTATTATTATTAATAAAATTGAAAAGAGTTAGTCCAATAAAACGGGCAAAATTTTTTTAGTTGATTAATTAATACAAAAACCAATAATTTAATAATTAACAAACTGATGGAACGTTTCGGCTTACTTAGTCATCATCTGGAGCTATCATACAAATTTACATTACAATTAAAATTGACATTATCGACGCAGATGTCTTACGTTTGTCGCAATTCTACAATCTTCGACTATCATAAATCGTCATTCAATGTCTAATTAATCCCCCATGATGGCTGATGATGGCTGAAGTAAGCCGAAACGTTCCATCAATCCATTTGTTAATTATTGAATTATCAGTTTTCGTATTAATTAATCAACCAAAAAAGTTTTGGTCGTTTCGTTGGCCTAACTCTTTTCTATTTTATTGTTTTATACATACGAGCGGTAAATGTTTTATAACTTGATTATTATTGTTATTTATAATAGAAATAAATTTTGCGACATCCCGCTAACAATTCCTTTTTTTTTTTGCGAGTAATTTGAAAATTTTAATACATGCATCAGAGAATGTCGCGCCTGTCACTTTTGGATTTCTCGTATCCTTTTTTGATTATACCTAATATACATGCTATTCAAGCGACCGTTTCAATCTTCCGCGGCAAAATATGGCCATCGTAGAGTCTCTCTCTCTCTCTCTCTCTCTCTCTCTCTCTCTCTCTCTCTCTCGTAATCGCGAAGAACCACCGCGTGCTACGAAAAATTACTTTCGCACCTGATAATCCAAAATGGAGAACCCAAGGCCCCTCTCTCCTTTAACCAATTCGATAATTTGCGGTTCGGAACTCCACATCGCCAGACCGGTTAGCGGTTCCAACGAGCGCGACTTCATTTTATTCAGACTCGCGTCGGTCACCGTGGCCGTGGTCGTCGTCGAAGCCAAGGAACCGTCCGACTTTGCTTTCACAAGGCGATCCATCGTGGGCAACAAGTTTTGCAGAGACCCACCGAGGATGCTCTACGAGATAACATATGGATATTCGCCGATAGATTCTTTCAAAGGCGCGACTTAACCGTTTTCACAGCGCGACGTCGCGGCCACTCCGTATACTCACTCTGGTCTGGAAGGCGGCCTGATGTTGAGCGGTGTCGATGGGGCAAAGTGGATCCTGCGAGGCGATGTTTCTTCCGCAAACCATGCGGACGTGTATAGGCAACACTTTCAGCACGCTAACCACTTCCATATGATTGATGCCCAATAAACGGTAGCCGTTTACCTTCAAGAAAGCACGATATCGATTTCAGGCACATTGCACCGTGAGAGCGGAGCGTTTTATCGAGCACTTTCGAAGGGGAGATACTATAGAGTTAAAGCCTCGCCCAAAAATATATGGAAATACGATAACCTCTAGTAACTCGTCGCCGGAGCGCAGCGTGCCGTTCTGTCCGACGGGGCCCTCCGGCAGGATCGAACGTATATAATGATGAGGCCTTACTTCCTGGCCGTTCTCCACGTCGACCGTTCCCTCTAAGCTAATCCCGAGACCGCTACCTTCGGCGAACTTTTTCAACTGGGCGACCTGTTTCAAACGAATAAAGAAACGAAAGAGATGATCCTTTCTCTGTGCGCGCAATCTTATCCTACGACGAGATTGCGGTACTCACGACTATCTCGGTGTCGGGCCCGACGATCTTCTGCCATTTCGCTTTGATTGCCGCGCGAATTTGAGGCGTGAGCTCGCTCGATGGATCGCTCAACAGCGCTTCAACGTTGGCCGCCTCGTCCTGCTCGTCGGACGTTCTTAAACGTTCTCCTTCCTGCAGAACCGCGCTATCCACGGTGGTGTGAGATTCACCTTCCGGCTCTATTTCGGTGGTGGTCTCTCCGTCCTGGGAG